ATTTAATTGAATTGAATTGAACAACTAAAATATTAACTGTTGTTTTTAACATCACCAAAGATAAGAAGGAACCCGAGCACAGCCTGGCAGCTGTTTGTTTTCCATGATGAGGGGATAGTTCCATCCTATCCCACCATGTCTCTGTCATATTAAAGTACAGACACCATTTATTACATTTCAATTAAATATATACCCAGACTACCCCTGATACAATGCCCAACTACTCATTGTGACAGTCTGGATGTATTTAATTGAAATGTAACAAATGGTAATAAATGGTGTCTGGGCTTTAATATATATATATATATATATATATATATATATGAATTTACAATATTCATTTAATTATTAAGTTTAAAGCCATGCACTGTCAACTTTCAGACCACTTTTGGCTCAGTTTAAAGAGAAACAGGCAGGGATTTGCTTGAGGCCATTATTGTAATTGCAGAATAAAGCATTACCACTTTTTTTTTTAGCATGTTTTAGTTATTTTATGTACACTTTTAATATTTTCTATGAATATTTTCTTCAGGAGCATGCTGAATTAACTTCAGTTTTTCTTCTTCCCTTTAAGGTTTTTGAAATACTAAAGAGGACAAAATGCAAGGCCAAGTACAGCATGGGTAAGTTTGGATCTCTATCTCTCTCAGTGCTTGACAGCACTGCACAATATAAGATTAACTTTTACAGATGTGTTTTAAAGCTGCAGTAGGTAATTATAATAGTAGTTTTTGTCATATTTGCTGAAATCAGGTTCATCTGGCTCCTCCTAGTGCTCCTAATGTATTTGCAAGAATCCACCAGGCTGAACGATAATAACCAATCAGAGCAGAGAAAATTATATACACACTTTGGGTCAAAGGCTTCAATTCAATTCAATTATATTTTATTTGTATAGCGCCAATTCATAACAGATGTTATCTTAGGACACACAAAATAGAGCAGGTGTAGACTGAGCTCTTAAGGCTTGAAGGTAGTTGATTGTTGGATCTCGTTCACAGGTTCCTTTCTTATAAAGATGTGAAGCCCACATTATCACCTGCATTTGTTTCCTCCCGGCAGGTATCACCAGTCTCCTGGGTAGTGGAGTCTATACAGCAGCTTACCCTCTTCATGATGTAAGTAGTACCTCTTGCTAATGGATTATCATTGATGGTGGTACCAGTTACATTGTGTTGATATGCTTTACAAGACAAGTTGAAAAGATGCCAGCATTAGAAAACTAAACATTTCTTTAAATAAGCCCATCTGAGATAGTAAATCCTGGTTTACAGTCTCCAGTCAGTGTGTACAGTAAATGGCTTCAGTGTTTCTCTTTCCTTTTTCAGGGAGATATTAATGAGGAGAGTGCAGAACCCAATGACAGAAAGGTGAGAAATGTATTTTTTAACTTATGCAAGCCAGTCTGAAAGACTTTACATACTGGTGTTCATGTTTTGCATTAGTACAATTTCACACACTTGCACATATAGAGGCCAAAATCTCTCCCACTTCCAAAGGTGGGAAGCTGGTGTATTTCACAGTTGATGTTGAGCAGTACAGAGGTGAATATATATAGTCATGAAGTCACAGTCAATGACACAGGAGAGGGAACTCTACCAAACTGTTGTATTCAAGACAAATATGCCAGTAGAAAAAGGCTAAAGGCATGATAAATCTGGACAAATAATGTAACAAAGTACTGTTGATTGTCTTCTTCAGCTTTTGTATGAGGAGTGGGCAAACTACAGTGTCTTTTACAAGTACCAGCCCATCGGACTTGTGCGGTAAGGAAATATTCCTTTGGTTATATAATTTACTGCCAATCATCCTTTTCTGTTAACAACTCTGATACTCTGAAATATCCTCCTATTCATAAACCAGGGCTTTTATTTTGAAGGACTGTAATTCGTAATTATTTGCCACAGTTTAATCCTTGATTTTGCCACCAGATGGCACAGAATTTTAAAGAAGAAGGTCAAATCTGCCATGTGTTAATTGGTTAATTGTTGTGATTGGTCGAGGCAAATGACAACCCACCTAGAGCCAAAGGGTCTGTCCTAGGTTTCTGCCTCCTAAAAAAAGCAGTTTTCCTTGCCCCTGTCGCCAAGTGCTTGCTCATGCGGTGGCTGGTCCGGTCCTATACAATACATTATAACCAGGAGTCCGTCTAGAACTGAGCTCTAATCTGAAAAGCGTCCTGACATAACTTGATTCAGGAATTGCGCTATACAAATACAATTGAGTTGAATCTTAATTGCAATTGAATTGCACATCACTGGAATACGCAGTGACCGATCTGTTGTGATTGTATAACAAATTGCACCGGGCGCGTGGCGCGAGGCGCAGAGCGCGTCCGCCCCTCCTGTGCCACATGTCCGATTGTGCCAAGGTGAATGTGGCACGTAGTGTAAAAGTGCTTTGAGTGGTCGGAAGACTAGAAAGGCGCTATACAAGTACAGGTCCGTTTACCATTTACCAATAAGCAGTTCAGCCAGTGATGATGTCCCTGCTTCTGCCTTGGTGGCTGGCCAGGGTTTGAGGAATTTTACCAGCAAGAAACCAGAATAGTGATATTTGATCAAATCAACAGTAAACTCATTTAACAGTGAACAGAATCCTGTAACTGACTAATTGGGACCAGTGGGCTTGCATCTTGAGTCATGCGTGTGACTGGGCTTAGGCAACAAAAGCACTTGGTTGTCTGGCTCCTGGGAAACTTTGAAACAAATAATTTGTTAATCCAAGTGGACTTGGATTATATTTTATTTTTTCACCACTACCTTAAACAACACACCAACGCTGCACCCTAGGCTGTTTCAACACAGACAGGTCGGAATCCTTGCTTACTTTTGACTCTGGAATTTGACAACCTTGGACAAGAAATCTGTACAGTTCAGATTCAAATGTCAAATGAAGTGATGCCAACATTGTAGTTTTGTCTAAATAATTGAAATGATTTCCATCTTTTTGTGTTGTTTAGGAAGTACTTTGGGGAGAAGATTGGTCTGTACTTTGCCTGGTTGGGTCTGTATACACAGATGTTGATTCCTGCCTCACTAGTGGGGGTCATTGTCTTTCTGTATGGATGTGCAACAGTCGATGACAACATACCAAGGTAAACACACACAAAACATACAGTTTAACAAGCAAAGACATAAAGCGAAGAGTGAATTATTTTAATTGGAGGCCAATCTCCAGACGAGCAGAGAATGAGTGAATACACATTCTCTGCTAATCATGTTAACAGTGTTAGACATCAAGAAAACCAAAGTGAATGAGGAAATGAAAACGGAAGAACAAATACACAGAGAGGGAGACTAAGGAAACAGTTTGATGAATGAGTTGAGAAAGTGGGGCCTCTTGTCCTTCCTCCACCTGCCTCTCATCATCCACAGGATATTATGACACATACTGCCGGCTCGCATTTGCTCTTAGTGCAGACACACACCACACACGCTCAGTAGACGTGTTAATGTCAGAGTCTCACCCTGGCCCACAACCACACAGTAAGACAAAGCAGACCTCCGGTCTGTCTGTGTCAAAATGATCCCGGTGTGTTCAGCAGTGTACAGTGTTAGGAAGCACTGCTGCAGTGACACTGAAGGAATAACAGCCGATATCAATCTTCCAATACTCTCAGATCTGGAAGACACCAATTAAAGGGCTGTTATTGCAATTATATTAAAAGGTTAAAAAAAATGTATGCATTTAAAATATAAACATTCATTTTCTCATGTCCTCTATGAACATCTCTACAGAATTACTTTTTTTTTACAAAAGAGAAAGGCTGAAAGAGTAACTCGCTCAACTAGCTGAATCCAACACTATATTACACAAAATTCAATAACAAGGTAGAGGTACATAGAGATATAAAATCATTGTATTTCACAATTCCAAAGCTCCTTTGGCTTCAATAATCTAACTGGGAGGTTGAATCCACTGGGCCTGAAAACAACCAATCAGAGTCAAGATAGAGACTTGGGATTGTTGTATCTCATTCCCAGTGTCTGTATTTGACCTGGAAATGAGACTCAGTAATCGACTATCTTTCTCAGATCTGATCTGTTGTTTTCGTTTAGGCCAGGTGGATTCTTGCAAATGCCATTAGGAGCACCAGGAGGATTGTTTCACAGATTATCTGTCTCAACTACTGTCAGGATATAGTGAAAGTTTCAGCAAATATGACAAACAGTTATTTATATTACCTACTGCAGCTTTAATATAGATCTGTTTTCAAATAAATTACAAAATGTATGTTCAGTAATTTATACTAATTGCATGTGTTCTATACAAGTTAAAAAAAAATTTTTTAGCTTTTAACAGACAAAGTTCAGGCTTTATCTGTATATTTATTTAGAAAATAAAGTGCCTTAGTTTGATCCATTCATACCTTTTGTTATAAAAACAAATGTGCTTTGTTGAAAGTAGATATTTCCTTCGTAGATTTCCTCTTTCCATCGAATGCCTCTTCTTCTACTGGAGTACAGATTTTCAGTATGCCTTCCACCACTGGAAGTCTCTAACGTTTTCTGAGATCATGCATTTTAAATGTTGATATAGCCGATTATACTGATTGGTTGATTTTGTCAGATGACGTTGCAACCATGACCTCAATGGTTGTGTGCAGTTCGTTTGTTTGCCAACAGAAAAGGGGGAGGAGAAGAAGGGATTTAACCATTTTGATGTTGTTCAGGTGTTAAACTGTGGACAGAGGTCTTTACTAAAACAACGGAAATGCTAGTATGGACCTATGTTACTAGTTAACTAGCTACTATTGTGTGTGTGTGTCTTGTTTTCCAGCATGGAGATCTGCCACCCAAAGAACAACATCACCATGTGTCCTCTGTGTGACAGAGTGTGCAGCTACTGGAAACTCAGTACTGCCTGTGGAACCGCCCGGGCCAGTCACCTCTTCGACAACCCTGCCACTGTCTTCTTTTCCATATTCATGGCTCTGTGGGGTGAGTTAACACACATCAGCTCACTCAAAAAAAAACGTCTATCTAGCTAAACTCTGTCGTCATTTCAGAGGCTGTAGTTTGTGGTGCTCTTCAATTGACTCATTATTAAACCAGATAATCACCCAAGAAAAAAGGTACAAATAATACATAATACAATAATACAGTTCTGGGCCATAAAAGAGGTAAACTAATTCATTAAACTTAAAATAAACTAAATAGACTAAGCTGACCTAACAAACTAGTTAGTTACTGCAGTTCACTCAGGAACCTGGGCGATAGCTATGTCTAATTGTATTCTCTCTCGTTCAAAGCTGCCATGTTCATGGAGCACTGGAAGAGGAGGCAGATGAGACTGAACTATGAATGGGATCTGACTGGGTTTGAAGATGAGGAGGTAAGTAGTGCCCAAATCACAGAAAGGCAGACAACACTGAGAAAGAACAGATTAATTGTAAAGACAGAGAAAAGGAAGAGGTGAGCTACACCTGTATAAAGAACCCCATACCAACAGGTTCTCACTCCAAGCTCGCTATAGGTATCCCTCTTGCATCATTTCTGGATGCGCAGAGCTCCGGGGTCAAGTTAGCAAGATTGTAATGTAAATGGTAAATGGTAAATGGACCTGTACTTGTATAGCGCCATTCTAGTCTTCAAAGCGCTTTTAC